ACTTCAACTCCCAGAATTCCTGAGCCAGCATGGGGGAAGTATGGCCCCCTCATGACTTGCGGACTTCAACTCCCAGAATTCCTCAGCCAGCGTGGGGGAAACTTTGGCCCCTTCACAACTTGCGGACTTCAACTCCCAGAATTCCTCAGCCAGCATGGGGGAAGTATGGCCCCTTCATGACTCGTGGACTTCAACTCCCAGAATTCCTCAGCCAGCATGGGGGAAGTATGGCCCCCTCATGACTCCTGGACTTCAAGTCCCAGAATTCCTGAGCCAGCATGGGAGAACTGTGGCCCCCTTCATGATTTGCGGACTTCAACTCCCAGAATTCCTGAGCCAGCCATGCTGAGGGGAAAGGGAGAGGTTTCCAAACTGAGCCACGCTGGCTCAGGAATGCTGGGAGTTGAAGTCCACCAGTCATAATAGAGCCCAGATTGCCTACCCCTGTGGACCCAGCCCTTCTCCACTTACTATAGAGTTGCGGGGCACTTTCAAGGGGATGCCATCCGTCTGGGCAGCCCCGTTGGGACCCGCTCCTTCTTTCCTCCTCTTCCTGGAGTTTAATCTGGCCGAGATCTGGGGATCCATCCCGGCAATCGCCTCTGGCAGATCGGCTGGAGACACCTGGAGGATCCAAGCAGGCGTTTTAAGGGAGCTGCTGAAGGCAAAGGAAAAGGCGGGGGGGGGGGGGCGCAGTGCCCGGCTGTCCGGCTCAATGCCAACGGAGCAGAAAGTTCACGCTGGCACGTCCGTCCGTCGGTCAGGAGAAGTGGAGCAGGGAGGGAGGGACGGAAGGGAGGGGATTTGTGTGGCTCTCTTACGCACAAATTGTTTGTCTCTGCTCGAGTCACAGGAAAACCAGCTGTCCAGGCAATACTGGACACGGCTAATACCGAGTTGTTGTTTTTTTCTCTCCCAACCCAGCAACCATGCTTGAAACTGCGGGCAGGACCACTGCTTATTTTAGCACTGTAAAAGCCTGGGCAAAGGTTTGCAGGCGATCCTTCACTTGCAAAGATTCGTTTAGGGACCGTTTTGAATAGAATAGGGCTGGAAGGGACCTGCGAGGTCTTCTAGTCCAGCCCCCCCTGCTCAAGCAGGAGGACCTGTCTATTCTATTCTATTCTATTCTATTCTATTCTATTCTATTCTATTCTATTCTATTCTATTCTATTCCTTATTCTATTCTTTTCTATTCTATTCATTTTCTATATTCTATTCTATTCATTTTCTATTCTATTCTATATTCTATTCTATTCTATTCATTTTCTCTATTCTATTCTATTCTATTCTATTCTATTCTATTCTATTCTATTCTATTCTATTCTATTCTATTCTATTCTTTCTCTATTCTATTCATTTATTCTATTCCCATGGTGGCGAACCTATGGCACGGGTACCATAGGTGGCACTCAGAGGCCTCACTGTGGGCACGCGCGCCGTTGCCCCACTCCTAGGCCTTCAGCTGGGTTTTATAAAATCTTTCCACTTTAAGCCTCCGCCGCCGTGTGCAAAAAAAAAAAAAAGTTCAATCAATCAGTCAATTTCAACTTCTCGGGGAAAAAAAAAAGATCTCGCAAAGTTGGAATTGATTGATTGAACTTTTTAGTCCCACCCAGTCTGCCGTTACCACCGAAGCCACGCCCACCCAATGGGCCACGCCCACCCGGCCCCCGACGATACATAAGTGGGTTTTGGGTTGCAGTTTGGGCACTCGGTCTCTAAAAGGTTTGCCATCACTGTCCTATTCTATTCATTTTCTCTATTCTATTCTATTCTATTCTATTCTATTCTATTCTATTCTATTCTATTCTATTCTATTCATTTTCTCTATTCTATTCTATTCTATTCTATTCTTTCTCTATTCTATTCTTTCTCTATTCTATTCATTTTCTCTATTCTATTCATTTTCTCTGTTCTATTCTATTCTATTCTATTCATTTTCTCTATTGTATTCTATTCATTTTCTCTATTCTATTCATTTTCTCTATTCTATTCTATTCTATTCTATTCTATTCTATTCTAATAATAATAATAATAATAATAATAAAGTTGGAAGGGACCTTGTCATCAAGTCCAACCCCCTGCTCAGGCAGGTATATTCTATTCTATTCTATTCTATTCTATTCTATTCTATTCTATTCTATTCTATTCTATTCTATTCTATTCTATTCTATTCTATTTATTTTCTACTCTACTCTCTTGTAAAGAGACGGTACTTGGAGGGACAATTCTTGACCTGACGTGTAAGTTGGGAGGGAAGGAAATGGCTGCACTACATATGCCTGTCAGGAAGTTGTCCAGGCCAGGACAGGCAAGTCCCAAACATGCATATCCTGTGGAAAGGAGAGGCCCCGAAGACTTTCTGTTCCAGCCCAGAAAATAAGATCAGAGCCTGCTGTCCGAGGAATCACATGCTCTCTGTCCATGTGCTGTGAGCGAGTGCCAATTTTGTGAAATCTTTTCTTTTGCTGTGGTTTTAATGATACACACCCTTTGTATAAACTCAACACCCAGTTCTTGGATTATATGATTTGTTGACAAAGGATTTCCCCAATGCACAAGAAAAAAACACCGTGAGAGCGTTCAGATCAGAAACTTCTTCCTGATGGCATAACCTGATGGGCAACCTCGGCAGCTTCAAGACTTCCTGACTTCAACTCCCAGAATTCCTCAGGCTGGCTGGGGAATTCTGGGAGTTGACATCCACAGGTCTTGACGTCGCTGAGGTTGGACACCCTTGCTCTAGAACAGGGGTCTTCAAACTTGGCCCTTTTATGACTCGCGGACTTCAACTCCCAGAATTCCTCAGCCAGCGTGGGGGAACTACGGC